GCTGGATATGAACAGGTGGAATTTACGCAGCTCATTTACACACTTTTCCTGAAGATAGAAGAGTTTGTTGAATCTGACGTGACATGTTCGTACGAAGCCTTCGTACGAACAAAACTAAGAGAAATTTAGGATAAGAATACAAACATGTTCTTGCATGAGGTCCATTGTTTTATACGATACACTTTATAAAGCACAGTAATTTTTGTTCATCCAATGTTTGATTTACCTTCTTTTAAGGCTTTGTCATGACCAGAATGTTTTGTTTATGTAAAACGTTTGAACTGAAATAATTAATTTAACTTTTATAATATTGTACTATTGTAACAATAGTTGCAGGCAATAACAATTATTTTTGTAGACTGAACAAAATATACTAAAGTACATGCTTTCTAGTGATCTATTGTAGTATTACTAATCCATGTTGCTTACACCAGTTTAACATCTTGTTATAGTCTGGACTTCTGAATAATTCAATGTTTACTTTAAAACAGAATATCAGTCAGATATTTTTTATAATACTAAAATTACCACTTCCAATTCTAAACTATTTGACAACTATATAGGTGATGCAAAACACACACATTTTATTTAAAGTTAAACAAGACCACAGAATCTGCTACTCACCATTCCCATCATTCCAAAAGGGGCAAGTGGGCCAGCCTAAAAWGAAGTGACAGCTTAAACTCAAACATAAATACAATAAACAATATCATGAAGTAATTTTACAATAAACAAACAATTTATTACCACAGCAGTCTGTCTGCGTGCTGGTCGATGTGGCTGTATCTGAGGTGCAAGAGCAAATGGATCCATGGCGAAAGGTCCAAACATACTTCTCATTTGGTGCCTGTGAGCAGCAAACAGATCCCTAAAAGAAAATAAACAAGTTTGGCTATTTAAATATGACTCTAAGAAGCGAAGAGAAGTTTAAATTAAACACAGGGAAGAACCTGGTCAAATTCATAAAAGCTGAGGACTTAAAATATATGTATCGAGTTTACTAAAGGTTTATAAGCTTTTTCTAGAGTATAAACCTGTTTTAGAAAGCAGGAGAGTTGGTAATATTTTTTGTCTTTTTTCCCAGCTGCATCAAGTTACACGTTTTAATACAATTTGGGAACTTTGTTTTTATTTGTAACATACTTAAACTAAACAGACAATCTCACTTTCCAAAACAGTTCATGCAGTTTAAAATGTGTGTATGTGTTTGTTTATATCACGAGCTAGTGATAGATGAATTTGAGATAAGAAACTAAACAACAACAACAACAACAACAACAACAACAACAACAACAACAACAACAACGTGTCAGCAGTGTGGTGTTACAGATCTGATTATCAGTTTTTTTTATCTTTTGGTTTTAACATTAGACATCGTTTAGTCCTTTTTTTTTTTATCTTAATGCATTTGCAGCACAGAGCAAAGGCGATTATGTTAATATGCAGCAAGAAATTACTGAAAAGTACTAGATGTGCCATCAATTAAATCCCAAACAGCTTAATTAGTTAGAAAACAAAATGAAGAATGGCATTGATCAGTTGATGTTGCTGCAGATGTCTTCATTCCTTTTTATTCAGACAGATGTTTTTCCCTGTTTTTGCTTTATTGTCCATCTAATATGGTGGCCCTCTAACGCTAGGCCCCCACTAACGAAAAGGTAGGCTACCTGCTTTACAGGGACAGCGAGAAATTACAAGTTTAAACGACTTAATGTAGCTGTCCGCCGATCACTAAGAGCAATATCTGTACTAAATGTGATAAATGTCAGTACTCACATCATGAAGGGGTCGTCGTCGACGTCATTCAAGAAGCGAAACATGTTAGGTGATTCAACTCAGCTGGCCCGTGTTAGCCAGCTAACCAGTAAAACCTTCGTGGGGAAAAAAGGGTAACAGGCTCAGGCTCAAGTCAGGCGGAAATGCTGGACCTCCTGGTCGAAAACACGAAACCGCAACTATCGCTGTTTAGTAAATGGGACATGCAGACCTCACTCCCACAAGACAGCAAATTCCAGAAATCTGAGGGGAGAAAAACATACAAACGGAAGTCAGTCTGCTAACAAAGGGAAGCACAAAACACCGCTGCTAACAAGTTAGCATCAAAGCTAACAATTACGACTTCCGCCCTCTGACTTTTCAAAATAAAATAGCTTCTCTCGCAATAATCACAAAACAGACAACTCGTAAACTACAAAAACTGTGGTGTTCCAAATGTGCCCCATTAATTTACTTTTATTTTTAAGTTTAGAACAGTGTTCAACAAGTTGCTTCAGTTGCCAATTTCACTTCCACTGCGTTACATTTAAAAATGTTTTTGAAAGTTTTTCTTTGATTTTCCAGTGTTTTTTGTGCCTGTCCTTGTTCTTCCCCAGCTCCTGCTCACCTGATCCTCATTTGTCTCCCAAGGTGTTCCTAATCATCTCCTCAGTCACCCTGTAGGTTTGTTGTGCTGATGTAGTTTGTCGTTGGCTTCCCAAATGCTTTCATGTAGTACTGTTTTTTTGTTTTGTTTTTAATTTCCAAGATTTTGCCTGCTTCCTGGGTCAACCTGATATCCGGTGCTTTTTCATTAATTTTCAACTAAGATTAACTACACTTAGCAGAAAAATAAAGAAATTTGTGTTTACTAGATTATCAAAAATAAAAAGAAGTAGGTCCTCTGGATGTTTTCTTTCATCTCTCCTCCAAGAGACTTCTTCAGTCTGATGAGTTTCAGGTGAACTCAGCCTTATAAGCACTGCCTCCACATGGTCGACAAAGAGGTCAGTCACATGCAAAAGAGGGCCATCGCTTAACAATAGGCTTGATTGGCTCTATTGTTCATAGAGGGTCATGTGCTCCATCGCCTGACTTATTGGTTTGGGTGGTGTGGTTCTTAGGTGTTGTGTCATGTATATGTAGTGAATGCAGGCGGTGCTCACTGCTCAACGTCCCCTTGTTTTTGTTTTTTCCCTCTTTGTGTTGGTATCGTTGGGGCCCTGATTCACACCTTTTTGCTTACAGGGGGCTGAGTCATACTTGCAATAACAGCGTTGTAGGAGGAGGACAACTGGACACGAAGGCCTCCACCTCAGTTTAATGGTGGACGGTTTTTCTTCACAAAGATGGCTTCCTTTACTCCTCTCTCAAACCAATGTTTCTCTCTATCAAGGATGAGAACATATTCATCCCTGAAAGAGTGAACACTGGCCTGTAGATGAGATTATAATTATTTTATTCTTTTTGATTTTTTTCTACCTGGATTACTGAGATGCATCAGGACATTTATTAGATTATATTTCTTTGCCGTAACAATGCTTCTTGGCAGCCTACATCTCATTGGAAAGCCTGTTAAATGATGCCAAATTTGTAAGGAACAGGAAATTTGTGGTATGTGGGTTGTGCATGTGCACATAATTGCACAAAAAAGGTGCTGCCAATCAGGTGATGTTACCAAGAAGCATTGTTAACAAACTAAACACAAATGTATTTTCCCTTGCGGRCTCCTTAGTAAATATTTGTCTTGTCTAAAGTCTTGTAAATTATAAATTAGATTTTAAACTCTGATGTAACCTGTACCAAGCTCAGTAGAATATAACCATGAGCAGGGTTGCCAGTATGGCTTCATCACACATTCTTAACTCCTTCTTGTTCGAAGAAAAAGTGGTTAGAAGATAAACCTCATGACAAAAGATAATCTAGCTGCTTTTTGTTTATATTACTGAACAATGTGTGGAAATTTGGACCATATCTGTGTGCGTGCAGAGCACTCCAAATATTTGACAGCTCTGACCTTACGTGCCATCTTCTCACCCCTCTACGGCTCAACGGGCCGCAGTTTGTAAATCGCCATCTTTTCAATAGTTTCTTGGTCTTCCCGCAGATCCACATGGGTGTCCACCAAAACGAAAGGTGTGTCTGGATAATTGTACAAAATCTCAAGAACCCACTGAAAATAAGAATATACATATGAAGAACAAAACAATATGAATGACCAGCAAAGTATAAATTCTTTTAAAACAAAGCTATATTAATCTCAGTCAGGGATGCTTGGCTATACTGTGCAGAAATTAGTTTAAATAAACAGAACATGAACCTGAAATGTGTTGCTCCTGTCTACTTTGACTTTGGTATCTAAARAAATAATTTTTTCTCCCAGTTTCAATGATCTATTGCATTTAGACAAAGTTAAAATTAATTTACTGTATGATGGTTTTGTTCATATTTTAATAAAGTTATTGCAGGTTTACCAGTGAAAGCCAACATTTTTTGGCAAAAAAACAAAAACAGTGATGACCGAAACAATAAATGTTCAAGGACCAGTGTAAAATAATATCTGAGAACTCTCTTTGACATTTACAAAGATGGTCTAACAACAGAGAAACACTCAATGACGACATCGGTTTCAGGAAATCTGACAGGAGGCTGATAGTTTTGGTTAATATAATCTAATCACAAAGACATGCAAGGAGGACTTTTTTTTTTGGTTTGAGAGTGACTGAATTATGATAAATTATAAATCACATTAACCTTGATGATCAGATAGACATAGTTGACTTCTCCGATTGTCACCGTTGTTTCAAAATGTTCACACATCTTTAGAAACATTGCAGAGGTTGTGAAGTCAGGTATGTCTGAGCTCAATGGATATCAGGCTTAAAACCAGTTATAGATTTATAAAAGTTTCTCACAGTTGGAACATGTTGGGGACAAGATGGTCATGTAGGAGATCAGTAAGTCAGCCTTTTCAGCTTTTACATTACCCACCAACAGACAATTTACAGACTTCATCTAGTTAAAGACAGAAAAGTGAAAATTTTAGTTGGCAAGAAATGCGAGAATATTAGTATAATATGAGTACAAACAAACAATGTGATGTATCAGTCAAGTCAAGAGCTACAACACAGGAGCACCTCTAATGACAGTTGATCAGAATTCCCTCTTTTTTCCTTTTAGAATCCTGATTTATTTCTGATCTGGGGGAAAAAAGCCAGAATTCAGATCCCATCACGAATTCTGATGAAAAGGTCTACTCTGCTTTTATTACTAAGACACATTGATAATGTTTTTTAGATCCAAAAGTCCATCTCCATAAACAGTGGCAATTTTTTTATCAAACTTTTTCCAGTCTTACTCATGGTCAGTGATGCCAACTGGGCAGCTGATATACCAGATCGACAAACTGCAGGATACCGCATTAGCCTAAATAAGAATGGTCCATTAATTTCATGAAAGACCAAAAGACAGCCAACTGTAGCATTATATGAAGCAGAATACATGGCACTAGCTGCTACAGGAGTGAATTTATTTGAGACAACTGATATTTAACATTGATGGTCTTTGTTATTTAGCTATGGTTTATGAGGTCAATCAGAGTACCATATCCTTAGACAAAAATCCTGTACACAGGCAAAGATGCAAGCATGTTATTAAATATCATTTTGTCAGATCAGTTATAAATGAAGGTAAAGTTATTCTGGAGGAATGTCCAACGGTTGCAGATGTGCTAACCAAACCAACAACAAAGTGCGTGTCGAAGAAATATGAAATGTYTGATGTATCAATTATGTATTTGTATAGCATCTTGACAGAGACTGAAGGAGTTACCCAAATATGAGCAAGTGGGGGTGTTAACATGCAGTCATTTGTCATTTATTTCTGTTCTATTGGTTTATTGTACATCACGACATGTGACCTGCCAAATTTATTGCATCTGTGTGAAAATAAAAGGCGTGTGTGTGTGTGTCTGTGTGTGTGTGTGTGTGTGTGTCTGTGTGTGTGTGTGTGTGTGTGTGTGT